CTGGTCCGTCTCGGTCTGAGGATCAGAGACGGGCACAGAAGGCTAATGTCGCGACTCGCGATCCTCCTCCGCCCCGCGGGTAGGGGAAGGAGGAATTGCGGGTCAAAGGGAGGTAGGCAAGACCTAAGGGATGTGATCCAGACAAGGCGTCAGACGCAGTGTCTCGTTTCCTACTCAGGGAATCATGGTTACATAAGTAACCTGAGACGTTTTTATAGACCTGTTTTTCTTCAGAAAGATTTTCTAAATTTTATTTTTCTTTAGTGTTTAAAAAGGTTGATATTTCTTTTTTCAGTCATTATTCTCCCTGTATAGATGTAGATGAATGAAAAGAGGTCTTTTATGTTTTTATGGGTTTATATTTGTATGTATACATTACCATCAGCATCAATAAAATACAATACAAATTTTATTTCTATAGCACATTTAAAACAACTGCCGTTGACCAAAGTGCTTTCCAGCATCATTACATACAGTCACACAAACAAAAAATAAAATTAAAAATTAAATCCTGATCACTCTAATCAAGAGCTATATAAAAATAACACATGTAGAAGTATATTTTATATTTATATTTGTGTTTATTCTTACCTTGAATAATCATTTAGCGATTATTCATGTGTCATAAAAATGGACAAGAATTGTAATAACTTTGGGAAAAATTGTTGTAGAATACTACGATCATAAATTTTCCAAGATTCACCTTACTCCTTTCTGCCATTTTCAGTGGATCTGAATTGTTTTGAAACTACACTATCTGTAAGTTTGTGTAATCTTAAACAAAACTGGCTCTCAACATCTTCAAACAAATTCTATAAACTCACTTATTAGATTTCAGTGTTAACCTCATTCTCCAGAAGAATTGAAAGAAATTTGCTGGTGTAGACACCATACAGGAAGTTAGTCATTATCTGGGCAACAGTTTTGCTCAAAGAATGAGATGACCTCCAGATATGTATCCAGATATGAGTCACCCAAAACTGTTTTTCTTTAATACAGATGTGGATGAATGTGTTGAGATATCAGACATCTGTGGTCCAAA